GCGTTTCCCCACGTCTGCTGCTTGATCATGGGAGCGAACATAAAATTCTGTATGAAACTGGGCAAAACTGCTACAGAGATGTCTGACATGATTTGGCAAGTTTACGGCGATGCTGCAATGAGTTGTTCGAGGTGTTTTGAGTGAAACACACACTTCAAGAGCAGAAGCACATCACTGGAAGACGAGGAGAGTCCAGGAAGACCATCAACAAGCTCAACCCCCCAAAAATTCCCTCTTGCCAAAGATGAGGATCCAGCTCAAAGGTTGCCGTTTTGACAACATTGTGGAGATCCAGTGATTTGCTCAGTTTCACACAGAATTTCACTTTTGCTCTTTGTTCTAACTTGCTGTCCATGATAAAATAGCAGACGTAGTACATGGTAACACACGTGGTTAGAATAGCACTGGTTGTACAGCTCCCAATGTACACAGGACGATTTATTTTGGCACATTTACTTATGAAGGTCGGTGCTCCTTGCAACTGTGCGTACAGCCTTGTGCTGCTATCTGTTGGTGTATTACAAAACTAGTTTGATGCCACCCAGGGGCGGACTGACCATTTGGAAACTCGGGCACTGCCCGAGGGCCCGGGGTCAGTAGGGGGCCCCATGAGATGCCCCTGGTACCTTTTTCTTTGGCTTTTTTGAGTTTGGGCAAGGACACAGGGGCCCAATGAGTTGTCAGTCCGCCCCTGATGCCACCTTGTATGTGTTTGACAACGCAAAAAAAAAAAAAATTCTGTTTAGCTAGATAACGTCCTGTACTCTCTGCCTCTGGACTGTTGTCAGTTAGCATTGTTCCTTGCTATCTAAATAGACTACAAAACACCTCCCCCTTTTATGGAGACAGGAATTAGGTGTCATATAGTCTTAATACAGTGATATGTAGTCCAAACGCTCTTTGTCCTAAGGTAACAATGCTGCTCAGTACGGATGTCACCCTAGAACAGGAAGTATGTTATTGGCAGGATTACCAGGTGAAAATAAAGAAAAAAAGTGAAAATGAACACTAACGCAGCCACCACATTTAAGGACAGGTAAGCTGCAATACTAACAATTGTTGCTCTAGGATTTAGATATGCTTTAAAGTACCCACCTAATTTTTTTCTTCAAATAATTTTTTACACCCCGGTCACATCGGGTGCGACTTGGCATGTGATTTGCATACCATGCGACTTGCAAATTGTAAGCCAAGTCGCACCCTATTGTCCGTTATTAGAGCGGTTATATCAGTGCGGTTCTGACTTGGTAGGAGCCGCACTGATTTCTAAAGTAGTGTATGCAGTACTTATGGTGTGATTTGCATAGATATCTGTGTCTGATGTCTTGCAGATGGCACCTCAAATCAGCAAGTCACCCAACTTTGAAATCGTGCGACTTCACTGTAAGTCGCATGATTTCAAAATCGGCTTTGATGTGATCGGGGGGTTAATGTCTTTTTTTATAACAAAATAAACTTTTCCTGTATTATTGGACTTTGGGTGTGAACGCTGCTCTGGTCTCACAAAAGAAAACAAACATTTTATCACAAACAATTATTGTTGATTTCTATGTAATTATATTTTGTCTCTATAATAATAAAACAATTATGCAGCGCTGCATAATTGTTTTATTATTTTGATTGAAGGATTCAGGGGTTCTATCCTTTTATGCGAGCAGCTTTTATGCGTTGTGATCTTATTGTGCGCTTACCTATTACCTTTCTATATATTTTGTCTCTATACTTCATTACACCTATGCAAAATATGATTCACCGTTACAAAAAAAAGTTACTGATGGAATTAATTGCTGATGGAAATTATGTGCAGATCAATTGGCTAGTTCAGCAGGTATCCCAGCTGTTCTGCCACAGTAATGTAGTGAACAGATAACTAGCTCTGCGGTGCTTAGAAATGGAAATATGTAACCTTACTTTGTAGAAATTGCTAATTATTATAAATAATGTAACTATTCTGTTATCATTGTCAGAGTCCAAAAAGTTGCTGCTGCCACCAAGTGGTAACTTTCAGAAATTACGCAAAAGTCATTGTCAACACAAAATAAGATGTAGAAAAAATACCAAAGCAGTTTTGGTATAGGAGGATTTATTTATCAAAACAAGATAAAGAGCAATATTTAGAATACAGCAAACTGTCACATCCAATCAAATTTTAGCATGCATAAATCCAGTCAGTTGACATATCTATGGGCTAAGTCTCTGGGCACTATATCTGATGCATCTGAAAGCCCTTTCCATAGATATTTCCTGCTGATTTTTTTTACAAGGGAGGTCACCAGGTCTTTCTCAACCTTCCCCAATTGCTGAACTTGGAACTAGCATGTAGAATGTGATAACAGATGTACTATGCATTGTCAATTTGCACATAGTCTAGGGCCAATTAACCTACCAGCATGTCTTTGGAGTGTGGGAAGGAACCAACATGAACATGGGGAGAACATGCAAACTCCATGCAGGCAGTGTCCTGGCAGAGATCTGAACCAATGACCTCTGTGCAGCAAGACATAAATGCTACCCAAAAGTCACTGCACCAACCCAGAATTCAGGGTGCTGAAACTAAATGAAGGAAATACTTCTGCACACTTAGTAACTCTGGCTTAAATTATACATAATATTTGACCGAATAGCTGTGGCACAGTTTATAGCTCTCTCCAGTAACCCCCTATTTATTGTATGTTAGGCGATCTGGAGGTTTTTTTCTTGCATTTTTTGCATGCTTTTAGTAGTGACGCGCTGTAGAAGCTCATAACAGTGGCGTCCCTAGTGGGGTGTGGGCCGCACCGGGTATCACCAACACAGGGGATGCAGAAGCAGTTTATAGCTCTCTCCAGTAACCCCCTATTTATTATATGTTAGGCGATCTGGAGGTTTTTTTCTTGCATTTTTTGCATGCTTTTAGTAGTGACGCGCTGTAGAAGCTCATAACACTGGCGTCCCTAGTGGGGTGTGGGCCGCACCAGGTATCACCAACACGGGGTGCAGAAGCAGGATGCCAGCAGAGCTTCTGGGCTCTGTGAAGGTCCTGGCCAGTTATTGTGGTGATCCCGGATTCCGGCACAGTGACAACTGCCCTCGGTGTAGCGGTAAAATGAGTATCCCGGACCAGTGAAGATATGTATCCCCTGAAGCAACTAAGCATGTGTCGTTTCAGGCCGAAGAAGCTGATCGCAATCTCTGACTTTAGCACAGAGCTGCCACAGTTAACCCCTTACGGGCTGCAAACCGCTGAAGCTGATCTCGTTGATCACTATGGGTTGCAAGATCAGTTAACCCCATATAGGTTGAACCTGTACGGGGTTAACTGATCTTGCAACCCATAGGGATCTGCGGGATCAGTTTTAGCAGTTTGCAGCCTGTAAGGGGTTAACTGTGGCAGCTCTGTGCTAAAGTCAGAGATCGGCTTCTTCGGCCTGAAACCGACACATGAGCATTTGTTTCAGGGGATACATATCTTCACGCGTCGGGATACTCATTTTTACCGCTACACCGGCACCACTCCTTCCTCTCTGGAGGGGTGACACCACGTGTTACCACACCCAGTGACACCAACCCTAGGGACTCCTCTGGCTCATAATATGTGCTTTTGTGCATATTTTTGCACACTCCGTTTTGAAATCAGTGGGGTCAAAAACAACCAGTAGTTCATGTACTTTTTAAGTCTTCAGGCATTGAGTGACAGGTGACCAAATGATCCAATGTGAACAGGGACAATTTAACAGCATGGGATTGAACTTTTTTGGGTTTGGAGCGTTGAGCTATAAATAGGGCCTAAAACAGAACTAAAAGTAGAAGCTTTTTTATTTCCAGCTTTGGATAGCGTACAGGTGGTTATGACCGCCATCAAATTTTTGGTGTGTCCCATAGTGCAGATATGTCTTTGCTTCCTGTCTCATAGCCAAAACAGGAAGTGAGAGGAAATACCTCCAAAGTGAGGGATTCCCTGGTTGTCACCAGGGTTACTAGAACTAGTGTCCCCACAAAAATTTGGGATTTTTATTTTACTCTCACTTTCAGTAACAATGCTAAACAGGACAAACAGAGAGGGTGAATTTCCCTTAGGCTAGGCTTACACTGATGCAGTTTGCATTTGATCTGTTTCTGCAGTGCTTTTTGCAGTGCATTTTGCAGTGCATTTTACATTTTTGCACATGCGTTTTTTTATGCGTTTTGAGTTTTGGGGGGGTTTTTTCAACTTGTTGCTGGGCAGAATAAAACACAAAGCGCATCAAAAACACATAAAAAATGCACTACATGCTTTTCTGCAACGTCTCCATTGAAGTCCACAGAACCAAAAACACAACATTTTCTGTTTAAAAAAAGTCCCTGACCCAGTCCAAAAAATGCACCAAGTGAAAACGTGGAGATGTGACCCTGTCCCATAGGAAATCATGTTGAATTCTGCAAAATGTTGAATTCTGCAAAATGAAAAACGCATAGGTGTGATCCTAGACGTAGGGGGGCACAGACAACAATAAAAACTGGTGTCCTATTCACTCCGCACTCTTTCCAAAACTAAAGAAAAAAGTTCAACTTTAACCACTTGTACCCCTGAGGATTTACTTCCCTTCCTGACCAGGCCATTTTTTTTTTTTTTTGCATTAAGGCGCTGCGTTACTTTAACTGACAATTGCGCGGTAATGCAATGCTGCACCCAAATGAAATTTACACCCTTTTTTTCCCCAAAAATTGAGCTTTCTTTTGGTGGTATTTGATCACCTGTGCATTTTTATATTTTGCATTATAAAAAAAAACCCCAACAATTTTGAGAAAAAAAAAATATTTTTGACTTTTTGCTATTAAACATGTCCAGTAAAAAAAATGTTAAACAAATTTCGTCATAAATTTAGGCCAAAATGTATTCTGCTGCATGTCTTTGCTAAAAAAAATCCTAATACATGTAAATTAATTGGTTTATGTGAAAGTTATAGTGTTTATAAATGGCGGTATAGATACTGGGATTTTTTTTTTTTTATTAGTAATGGCGTTCAGCGACTTATAGCAGGACTGCGGCAGACATTCTGGCACTGGGGGGAACTGACTTGGTGTAAAAAAAATCACTGACGCTGTACTAATGGCACTGGGCAGGAAGGGGTTTGCATGAGGGGAGATCAAAGGGTTAACTGTGTGCTGGGAGTGTTTACTAGGGGGTGGTGTCAGTGTGCTTCACTGTAATCACACTGCTTTGAATGGCTGTGCTGTGGCTGACAGGGAGGAGAACTGTTGGTAAACAAGACAGTTCTCCTCCCCTTCGTAGATCCTCGGAAATCACCGGGCGCCAGCAAGTAATCACCGACCGGTGATTGACAGCCACAGCCTGACAGCCACAGCCGTGAATGGCGGAACAGGTAGGGCACACGTGTGGCTCACGTGCGCCCCCTACCCGGAAATGCGAAATCACGTATATATATATGCAATTTTGCACACCCGTGCCGCCCTGTAGCAGTATTTCTGCTATAGGGCAGTCGGGAAACGGTTAATTACACTATTTACCCATTGAAACTATGCATTAATTCCAGGAGTGGCAACACTGACAAATTTGACTGCACCCATATTCAGCCTAAAAATCTTCATGAGACCCTGCGCAATAAAGCCCCATGCACACCGGGCTTTTAGTCCCAATGCATGAGGCTCCAGCGCTTAGCTGCGGCTGGCGGGCACAGACACACCACCCAAATCCACTAACAGCTACTGCATCTGAACAGAAGGATCACACAGTTCTACGTGCATTTAGGGCAGTATGCTCCCAGGAGCAATTGCCAAAAGTCAGACTGCTTGCCTTGTGGGCATTAGGTGCATACTGCCTTAAACCTTCATTCCACTAGGTGCATCAACCAGCTCCATCCATCTGCAGCAGCTGTCAGACTCTCATAGAGTTTGACAGGCTGCTGGTAGTAAGGCTGGGTGGTGCACCTGTACCATCCACAGATGAATGCCCAGTGTGCCTGAGGCCTAAAAGCGGCCCTACTGAGCCAAGTAAGATAAGTGTGGGCTGAGAAAAAAAGGGGTTTGTTTATTGATACTAAACCCAGGACCCTGCATTCACTATACCTGGTCTCCCACAGTACACAAAACATGGAAATGCAATTATTTTAGTAAATATAAACTGCTAAATACCTTTTCTCATCAGCAGTTAGAGCAGTCTTGTGACTTCTATTAGTGTTCAGCAGAGCACATGTTAAAACTTGTAGGAGGAGTTTTCATTCTGCTCTAGGAGGCTGCAGAACCCCTGACCTCTGTCTGGGCATTGCTGATTGCCCCTGTGCTGATCACATGTACTCTCCCAAGAAAAAAAAATCTCTCTAGCAATACACACAAAACTGAGTATGTGCAGAGTGTCTCCACATGATATGTCTAATCAGGAGATAAGAGGGGGACACTGGAAGAAGGGAAGGATCAGAGAAGTCAGGATCAAACAGAATTTTTACACAATGAGGATTAACCCCTTAGGTTCCACAGTGAGTATAACAAGCATACTTTCTGCATATACAGACTGATTTTACTGTTGGGGGTTTAGTAACACTTTAATGTTGATAATCTTTACTCACTAAATTGTGTGAATATTCACTGAAATTATTTAGTCATGCGAAACCAAATTCTGGTTTACTTTAAAATGGTTGTAAACCCTTACATATGCCCAGTGAAGCGAATGGCCTCAAGTGATGCACAGAGATAAAACAAATCCTCCTACATAAGTTGTACCTGTTTACCTACAGTCAGAATTTACACAGGATCTCTCAGCTCTGAAAAGCAGGGGGCAGAGAGCTGAAGTTACACTCAGTGAGGAGAGCTCTCAGAGCTGATTGGAGGGAAGGGACACACCCCCTTGACACAGCACACAGGAACAGAGCTGAAGCTGTCAGTCACAGGCTGTGTGCTGGAGTTCCCTCCCGTCACCTTTTTTTTCTTGGACTCAGGAAAACTCATCAGAAGTGACAGAAATGACACCTATTGCTCTGGATTGAGACAAGCTCACACTATAGAGGGATATGCTTTGTCCATATTTCATGTCTGAGGTTTACAACCACTTTAAATCATGTACACACAAAATGAGTACACAGGAATTTTCTTTTCGCATGACATGATAATTTAAAGTGGTTCTATAAACTGAATGGTTTTTTTTTACCTTAAAACATTCTCTGCATTAAAATAAAAAACCTTATGTATGCAGCTCCCCCCCAGCAACCCCCTTATACTTACCTGAGCCTGATCACAATCCAGAGATGTGCACAAGAGCAGCATCTCTCTTGGCTCTCTTCCTCCTCACTGGCTCAGGCAATGGCTCCCACTGCTGTCAATCATAGTAAGGGGGACATGCACAGAGCTGCCTTGGGAATGATGCTGTGGGGGTACTCGGCAGGGGGAGGAGCCAAGAGTGCTGGCAGGGGACCAGAGAAGAGGAGGAAAACCATTGCACATAGCAGGTAAGTATGACGTGTTGTTTATTTAAAAAATGTAACATTTACAATCACTCTAAGGCTTGGTCAACACTGCTGCAACTCAAACGTCATGCAACTTACTTGCAACTTCCTTGCGCCTTGCTTACAACTTTTGTGATTTAACATTGCAGTCTATGGCACTCAAGTTGCATCAAATACGCAGAAACGTAGTGCAGGAACCTTTTTTTGTTGCATTGATTAAGCAGGCACCCATTGAAATGAATGTGTATGAACTTGTCATGCAACTTTATGTGTCGTAAGTTGCATAATACGTCGCTGCAGTTTTAACTGGGGATAAGTGATTGTTCACTCACTTTATTACAGTTGTGTTCAAAATAATAGCAGTGTGTTGAAAAAAGTGAATAAAGCTCAAAATCCTTCTAATAGCTTTTATTTCCATACACACAAATGCATTGGGAACACTACACATTCTATTCCAAATCAAAACATGAAGAAAAATAGATCAAATTTGTGTTGTTCCTCTAAAAAAATTGAAGAAAAGTGAATATTACACTGTTCAAAAAAATAGTGTTTGTATTCTTCTTTACAAACTCAAACATTCACTATATAAACTGAAAAATGTTTGAAGATTTTGCTTTCCTTTGAATCAATTAATATTTAGTTGTATAAGCACTGTTTCTGAGAACTGCTGTACATCTGTGTTGCATGGAGTCAACCAACTTCTGGCACCGGTGAACAGGTATTCCAGCCCAGGATGATTGGACTACATTCCACAGTTCTTCTCTATTTCTTGGTTTTGCCTCAGAAACTGCATTTTTGATGTCACCCCACAAGTTTTCTATTGGATTAAGATCCGGGGATCGGGCTGGCCACTCCATAACGTCAATCTTGTTGGTCTGGAACCAAGAAGTTGCACGTTTACTGGTGTGTTTGGGGTCGTTGTCTTGTTGGAACACCCATTTCAAGGGCATTTCCTTTTCAGCATAAGGCAGCATGACCTCTTCAAGTATTCTGATGTATTCAAACTGATCCATGATCCCTGGTATGTGATAAATAGGCCCAACACTGTAGTATGAGAAACATCCCCATATCATGATGCTTGCGCAACCATGCTTCACTGTCTTCACAGTGTACTGTGGCTTGAATTCAGTGTTTGGGGGTCGTCTGACAAACTGTCTCCGGCCACTAGACCCAAAAAGAACAATCTTACTTTCATCAGTCCACAAAATGAGGCGCCATTTCTCTTTAGGCCAGTCAATGTGCTCTTTGGCAAATTGTAACCTCTTCAGCACATCTTTTTTTCAACAGTGGGACTTTGCGGGGGGCTTCTTGCAGATAGCTTGGCTTCACATAGACGTCTTCTATTTGTAACAGTACTCACAGGTAACTTTAGACCTTCTTTGATCTTCCTGGAGCTGATTGTTGGCTGAGTCCTTGCCATTTTGGCTATTCTTCTATCCATTCGAATGGTAGTTTTTCGCTTTCTTCCACATATTTCAGGTTTTGGTTGCCATTTTAAAGCATTTGCGATCATTTTAGCTGAGCAGCCTATCATTTTCTGCACTTCTTTATATGTTTTCCCCTCTCCAATCAACTTTTTAATCAAGGTACGCTGTTCTTCTTCTAAACAATGTCTGGAACGACCCATTTTCCTCAGAATTTCAGAGAGAAATGCACTGTAACCAGCATGTACAACATTTGCTGCCTTCCTTCCTTAAATAAGGGCAATAATTTCCACCTGTTTTTCAAAGAATGAATGACCTCACTAATAGAACTCCACACTGCTATTATTTTGAACATGCCCCTTTCAATTAGTGATTCAATTACACAGAATCAGCAGCATGCATGTCATGACTGTTGGGTCTGTTGGATTTCTATCACTCTACTACACCTGCTAGTAAATTATTTGCCATGTAGAAAAATAATTTCTACCAGAAACAGTGATTGATCAGGTTAGTGATGTCTGACTGCTATTATTTTGAACACAACTGTATGTGAAGATTGTCAACTCTAGTTAATTAGCCTCTTTATCTCCATTGTCTATTATGTGTAACATTTTATTTATAACCTTTTTATCCTGTGACAGCACCAATCTCACACTTCCCCTGTCTGCATCCCACGCACCTGTCAACGTTTAAATGACAGAATTGAATCTTGCAATGACATCATATACTTGATAATAATTAAAATGTTGTCTTGTACAACAGCTTTGATCTCTGTGTTGACCATGGATCAGACTGTAATATATCACATGATCTTTTTGGCAGCAAGCAAAAGTTATCTTTCAAAATACAAAGCTCATCAAAACCAGACAGTAAAGACAGTTTAGATAAATAAAACTTACCATAAATACTAAAATATTTTATTACTTTACAACATATCTAAACTCAAAACAAAAAAAAGTATATATTGCAGTTTACCACTCCTTAAATGCCGTGACTCTGTGTCTGTTTTTTGCATTTTTTCCCATTTATTTTCACCTGATGATCAGGATAGGAATACATTTTCCTGTCTTAGGTTGTCTCCACTCTGGCTGGAGAAGCAACAAAGACACCTTTGAACAGCAGCATTGTCAACCTGTGGAGTGGGGCATGCTAGATGCAGTAGCAGATTTGGACTTGGCTAACAAATTAAAGCTGAGTTCAAGCTAACAAGCAGCAACACTGTTTTTTCTTTTTTGTGAAAACTTTTTATGGTAGGTTCAGGGGTGGACTGACAATTCATGGGGCCCCCGGGCAATAGGGGATCATGGGGCTCCTGTTTCCTTGCCC